AAAAAAAAATAAAAAAAAACATCTCTCAGAACGCCCAGACTGGCTACAGTTATGGAAAACAGAATACCAACTCTGCAGTGCCAAGCTTAGCTGTGGCTAAAACATAAATCCACTCATTGAATTTATCAGATTAACACGCAAGCTTTCTTACACATCAAAAAAGATGCTCAAACTATTGAAAGGCGGCAGGGGAGGGATGGCTATATTTGGCCTGGGGGCAATCACAAACAAATAGCCTGATCTGGGCCCAAATCAGCCCATTTTCCACTCTCCTCAATTTTATATTAAATGTATTACACCAGTACTGCAAGAAGTGGAATACAATCAGAGTAAAAGGTTGCCAAATATATTTTAGTATTGTAATGCAATTTGTCTTGAGATTCACCTCTGCAGGTCTAAATGTTTCCTTGTACGTTACTTGTGTTTGACCTAATAAATTTGTGGATTAATGACTACTTGAAGAGAGGTGTGCTGAACCCTCTTGGCCAATAGTGCTAGCGGCTGTAAAACTAGAGCATTATAACATGTAACTAGAGAGACTGCAGTGCTGCTTACAAAAAGGCCACAAGGAAGCTGAATGCCAACAGATATGGCCCAACATCCAAACCTTCGTTGTCCAAGTTGCCATCACAGGCAGGAGATTGCTCTGCACAAGTTTATTTTAAAAAAAAACCCAAAAAACCTAATTATTCTGCAACTTAAATCCTCTCTGTTTTGTTCAGGATAGGAAGCAGGCTGGTAAGGAAGTGAGGTTACAGAGAGCTGTACACAAAGTGGAAATTTACTTGGGGAGGTGTGAAACGAAGGCCTACTGTATTTACCATATGTGCGGGGCATGTGGATAACAATGGAAAGCATGTAGGGAGTGCCCTTGGTCAGAGCAGTACACGGCAGTCTAATAGGAAGGCTTTGTTCTTCAAAAGGGTCTCCTCTCCCCTTTTGTGCTTCACTTAATTCATGGCATCTGAGCTGCTCTTGAACTTGACAGGCTTGGAGAAAAAGGATGGGGGATGGTAAGAATAGAGAATAAAAGAAAAGGACCTTCAAACGAATTTCAACACAAAAAAGAAAAATCCAACCTACTTTTTTCAGCACGCCTTGCTAAGGGCTCAGGACGTTCTGGGAGCCAGATACAGTAGCAGAAGGTTCTAACTTAAAGAAAACCAATTTTGTTCTCTCTGAACAAGTGTTAAAGTTTCTACGGCAAAACATAAATGTGTCCTCTCTGTTTTCACCTCGAGATATGACTCTGGTCCTTTTACCACCGATAGATGGCCTGGCATAGAAAGTTTCAGTTTGTCATTACTGTGCCATGGAAATAAAGGGGTCACATGTCCGAGCCCTAAAAGTAAACGCTAACCCTGGCGCTGAAAGGGTTAATCTGTAGGTAGAAGATAAGCTGCTAACCAGCACAGAGTGATGATGGAATCAGAGAACCAGTTGTATGGAGTCTTTTTGTCCATTTTATGAATTATTTCTATTTAAGCTCAATTACGAGATGATCCTAAACCTAAAAGCATGTGATCAAGACTTGTGTATTGTAAGGCACATGTGATTTCTATTTGTAAAAGTGATGGATAATAAAATGGCATACAATGCAGACAGATTTCCAAGTATAGACAGATGAGCAGATATCTTCTATATGCATTTTTTTCTGCATGACAAAGCTTTAACCCCTTAAGGACACGTGACATGTGTGACATGTCATGATTCCCTTTTATTCCAGAAGTTTGGTCCTTAAGGGGTTAAAGGAACATTAGAGTTAGGAATACAAAACTGTATTCCTAACACTATATAGTGTCCCTCACGGTCAGGCTCCTCTTGGTAAACTAAGTTAAGGGAGCAGGGATACTGCACCCAGACCCCTTTAACCCCTTAAGGACACATGACATGTGTGACATGTCATGATTCTCTTATTCCAGAAGTTTGGTCCTTAAGGGGTTAATGAGATGAAGTGGTCTGTGTGCCTACAGTGAAGGCACAACCTGGCATAAAAGGTCAAAATGTTATGGGTTTTTCCACCCCCCCCTAACTTACTTTCACTTACCATCCTCATTTATCACATCAGTAGCGTTTACTGGATGAGTGAACTAGGAACATCAACATTGGAAAAATAACATCTTGTTTAATAATGCTGAATACATTGAGTTCTTAACAAAACTAAATTTCAGGAATTTACCAGGATTTGCTAATTTTAAGCCAACAGAGCTGATCTGGAAACATAGCCAACTTGCAATTTTCCCAATTAAGATAATTTTGGTGCTTCCTGACAATTTACAGTTCAGAGACTAAGTCCATTTTAAAGCAACTGTTACAGTCTAGGTTCGCAGGGGTAGGCAACCACTTGTGGACTACATCTGCCTGACTCATTATAGGAGACGTAGTCCACAACATCTGGAGTGTCAAAGGTTGCCTACCTCTACACTTGAAAGTCCTTGCATATTTTGAAAAGACCTCTGATGGTGACACTGCCGATTGCTGTGTGGTGGCCTCAATGTGCAGCGGAGGAGTTCTAATTTACCTGATGCAGTCATCTACAGGTGCCACCATTTTCAGGGATCTTCAGCTCCTGAGGTTTCATCTGCCAGGAGCCCAAATCAGTGCTGGACTCTCACGTATGGGCGACAGTCAACACTGATGTCTTTTGTGGGATCCTGCAGAAATAGATATCCTAAACAAAAATGCCTTACTCCCAACAGCTATTGCTAGCAATGGCTGTGAGAAGTGACAAAGCTTGAGAGGAGCTTTGACTTGGTCTTATGGCAAAGCCTCGAGTTGACTTAAGTAGTTCCTCCTTTGGACTGTCAGGCCAGTCTTTATAATGATTTTATATTTATGAAATGCTACATTTTTTTGGTGGAGGAGACAGAGCCGCTTTAAAAAAAAATAAAAAAAATAAAAAAAAATCACACAGTGCTGTATGAGATCTACACAATCCATTACAATGTAACCTATTCAGCCATGATCAGCCAGTGGGAAGTCATTTTTACCAGGTGCTTCAAGTTACAAAGTCAGTTTTTCGATATACGGTACTTCACTGTAAGATCACATTCTAAAACATAGCTGTTTTTTACTTTTTCCTCTCTCCATATTTAAACTTGAATCCACTATTTTCTGTCAGAATGTGCCTCAATTCCAGGAGTTTTTCCTCCTATTTTTTGTATGCATTATTATGGTCAGCTAACCACCTCAAGCTATCATTGCCATAGAGCTTTCTCATGAGTCATTCTGGCTATCAGAGCTGAGCCACAACTGCATCGCGGATCCCTAAAGTTTTGGTCAAACTGCCTGAAACCCAAAACAAGATCTATTACCTAACAGCACCATCGCATGAAGTGATTATGGTGCTTGGGAGAGAGCATTTTCCTATAGCTCTATTCTAAATGTTCTTAATTTAATCTTTAATTCCCATCTTACCACATGTTCTTACCCTACCTCCCTCTCCTGGTTTTTAATGTTCTGTTTTAATACTTTGTATTATATGTCCTTACATTAACAATCGCCTTCAAGTGTAATCATAAAACGTGAACAATATTTATCAAGAGGACAACAAATTATGTCATGAAGGGAACAGATTCGCACTTAAATAATTAACTAGAATGCCTATTTTCTCTTACCATGTGGGGGGGGGGACAAATTTGTAAGAAACATGGAAACTTTGCTCACAATCCCTTTAATTAGCCTAGTGATGTGCAGGCCACCAGGTTGCATTTAAAATAAGGTCAAAAAGCAGCAGAACAATTAACAAAAGCAAAGCATGTGCGGTCACACAGACAATGTCAACACCAACAGCCAGCCAATAGAAGGGTCAGCATGGAGGTGCCCCGTGACCCTGCCCCCACCCCAGCCAATCACTTTCAGGATGCATTAGGCCATCTGCAAGAGGACAATCCCAGTAGGGGTTAGAATGGGCACAAAGGCTGCCGAACAGGCAAACATTCAGAACAAATTTCATTTCTAAAGGGAGAAAATGGACATGGTGTGGGAGTATGCTCTTGGGACACGTCTCTTAGAAAGCCACAATTCTTCAGCCATTGACAGCAGGACAAAGCAAGGGAGCCTGACCTCAAAACTGTTCCTTCAATGCTAGTCCAGGCTGGTTAAAATTATATGAAAAAAAAAAAAAAATAAAAAAAAAATTTAAAATGCCTTTTACAAACCTCTCAGAAATAGGTTTCTTTTAACTTTGTAATGCGAAACATTCCACAAGAAAATATACGTGATTGGTGGAATCCAGAAGACAATTTAATTGAAAGACCCTAAAATGATAGCTCCGTTTGAACAAGGACGTGTCATAGCTAGCAGTAGACTGGGGCAGATGGAAGCACATAATATGTAGATAGAGATTTTTATTATTCTATATTTTAACTGATCAATAAACTGTGAGCTTACCCTGACAGATCTAATCAGCTTGTAATGACAACTTCTTTATATTTTATTTACAGTTTCCAAAAGAGGTGTGAACAAACACCCCCTTTCTTGTAACTGTATACAATTACAACAAAGACTCAAATTCTATAAGTAAAAACAAATATAATCCTCTTAAATTAGCTTTGTGACCTGTTTAATGATGGCCAAACAATAATCTGAATACGGTTTGTAAATGGAAGTAAAGCATTCTGGGGCTCAGCTGTGGACATTACAGGATATGCAAATAACAGAATAGCACAACTAAACACCATGCCTCTATGCTGATGAACCTCAACTATTAAATGGAATGTTATTAATGCATTTGCTAGCAGATTGGCGAGGACAACATAGATTTGAAATTTTATGGTCTAGAAAGAATTTTGTCCACAACAGGTGCAATTTAAAGCAGTGGTGAGACTGCCAAGAGATGCACTGGAAAATAAAAGTAGATATTAAATATAGCATGGCGTTTTTCTGCCTCCACAGCAGTCTGGCTTTTCAATAGTCATTTCTGAAGGCTTACGAAACCTCAATGTAGCATCAACGATCTCTTTGCCAATATTTAGCACAATGCCAGGTTAAATCAGAATCACTGATTAAGGCAGCCAGAAAGCCATTAGAGCTACGCAATGACTGGTAAAATATAACTTGGATTGGACCAAAAAAAAACTCCAGTAAATAAAAGTGATGTGCAATTTGTGCTACCCAAACAGGGTAAAAAAAATGCTGGGTAAACAAGAGTACCAGCTTTAACGTATGCCCATTTTCTTTTTCTATTGACACAAAAAAAAAAAAAAACCCAAACCAAAAAACTGCATTTTGAATCCGAGGGCCAAAGCAGTTACAATAGAGGTGTCCCCCACTGTGGTTAAAGAATCTGGTCTTCGGTGCATCAGCAGCTTTTGCAGAGTGATCAAAAGCACGTTTAATCCACTATGACAACTGGCATCCTTTAGCAAGAAAGCTTCCTTCGAGGCGAGCATTGCATTGGACACGTTCGTTCAAACACAGGCTGAGTATCTAGATTTCCGAGGAAGTAATCACTTTTGTGCTGAAAACATGCAAAGAGATTACCAGAAACAAAACTTTTCATACGTTCCCATGGGAGCCGCGACAATAGGGTTGTACCTTTGCACCAAGCAGTTAAAAGTGTGTTGCTATTGAGATTTGGGAGTATTGTACACAAATCAGAATGGCAGTAAAGGTCAGACGCTGTAAAAGAACATGTGACATTCTACAAATCCACAGAAGAACAAATATTTCTCCCTTCTGCAAACTGACCGCCAGAGCAGAACAGGAAGTTTGAGCTGAACAATACGCTATTATGGATGCAAACGGAGGGAGGGTAAAGCAAACAGCAGCATGACTGGAGTTCTTTGCATGCTTTACTACCCATTCATTACCAAATATACAACATTACTACCCATGTCTAACATTGACAACCTTACAGACAGGCTGCATGGCCAATACACTGCCTGGATATGGCTACTGACTAATTTATGGGGTTTAGAGGAGATCGCTCTTCCTCACACTCTTACGTCTCTTCACTTGGTCCTTTGGAGATTATAACATATATCCAGTTTATGGATGTAGGTATAGAAGATCTACTGCACTTTCTAACATGCATATGAAAACATCTGAGAAAAAAATAAAATTCTAAGCTAATAAAAATTAAAAATCTCCCAAGATTTAGTTCTTCTAAAAATAGAATATTTATTGCACGCATTTTGATATTCACAGTTTAGTGAAACCTGTTCTGATATCGTAAACCTAAGTAACCTTTGCCAATGTGTTCTTGGAGGTGCCTTGAATAAAGCATCACAATTTTAGCACACAAATAGATTGTCCCCATATGAAAAAAAAGCCAAAACAAAAATAAAAATAACCTTTATTTCTCTGTCAGTTAAACATATAATAAAAAGCTGCAACTATGTAATAGATTAGAAACTTAAAGGGACACTATAGTCACTAGAACCACTACAGCTCAATGAAGTTGTTCTGGTGTCCATTGCATGTGTGTGCAGGCTTTTTGCTGGAGAGAAAGGCAGTGTTTAGATTGCTGGCTAGTAACACCGCTAATGGCAATCATTCAGACAACCACTAGAGGTGCTTCCCACAGTCTTTCCCCCAAAATAAGACCGGGTCTTATATTCATTTAAAAAAACAAACAAAAAAAACCCACTAGGGCTTATTTTCAGGCAAGGTTTTATTTCGGGGAAAAACTGTAGCAAGCATGTCCTAGGAAGCAGGTCTACATTCGGGGGAAACTTCCCTGAACATAGAGTAGCTTACAAGCGTATGGAATCCCACATACCTATGTTCGGGGAAAATTCCCAGACTATAAACACTTCCCCCGAAAATAAGCCCTACTCTCTAGTAAGCCAATTACGTGCATCCCCGCTTTAAAATTTTTTTTTTTTTTTTTTAAGGATGTCTTATTTTCAGGGAAACCGTGTACCTATATTCAGCATCTCCACGGTCCCTTTGAAGGTGCTGAACCCTCACCATAGAGATGCATTGATTCAATGCATCTCTGAGGAGACTGATTGGCACAGCATGGTGTTTTGTCGCACACGAGCAATAGCCTCCCAACGTTTATTTTCTTATGAGAAAGCACTGGATTGGATATCATTAATGTTGATGACCTCAGCCATGGAGGCAAGACCAGCATGACATGTGAGATGAGGTGCAATTGGAGGGGGGGCAGTCACCTAAACAACCACTTCAGGACTATAGGTTTGTATTCCTGAGAACATAGTGTTCCTTTAAGAGCCGATGAGGAGACCGTTCAGGATCAAGTTCTGGTTTCTTTACCTATATCTGATTTCCGTCATCCTGGATGGAACAAAAGGATAACTCACAAAAAGGGGCTAAGAGCAGCTACAGACATTTCTGAAACACTTGAAAACTGAAAATGTTCTCTGCTTCCCAAACAAAGTAATACCTGTACTTTCATCACTACAATCTGGAATTCACTGATCTACATATATCAGCAGTATATTAACAAGTGGTGGGCGGAATGTTGGACATATGCAACATTAATTTGGTTCTCTTTTACATACACATCATCACCTTTAAAAGGAGGACATTGCTCTAATCCTTATTCAGCTTCTAACAAAAATAACTGTCCTAGGAGCTTTCATTTTGTAAATCTATTTAAAGGGCAATGGTCAGCTCAAGCTCATTTTTTAGTATAATCCTTTTATCATGTTTTCAAAAGGAAATATTGTTCTGTTAGTATATGCAATAAAGAAAATAAAAAAAGAAAAGAAAATCTGTGCAGGGGGTGAAGTTGACCCAAGGTGTATGTATATTGATAAAGGATCCGGTCATATACTAAGGGTTGGGAGAAGAGATTCTACAATTAAAAAATATTTGAAATGACATTAGCCCTTTAAAAAAATCCTACCATGCACACATTAGCTGGCAACACATTAAAGGACCACTAAAGTGCCAGGAAAACATACTAGTTCCCCTCCCGCCGGGCTCTACGGGGTGGAAGGGGTTAAACTTACCTCTTTCTCCAGCGCCAGGTGGGGAGCTCTCCTCCTCAGCTGAATGCGCATGCGGGGCAAGAGCCGCGCGCGCATTCAGCCAGTCTCATAGGAAAGCATTCAAAATGCTTTCCTATGGACACTGGCGTCTTCTCACCGTGAAAATCACAGTGAGAAGCGCGGAAGCCCTCTAGCGGCCGTCAATGAGACAGCCACAAGAGGCTGGTTAACCCATATGTAAACATAGCAGTTTCTCTGAAACTGCTATGTTTATGGAAAAAAGGGTTAAACCTAGCTGGACCAGACACCCAGACTACTTCATTAAGCTGAAGTGGTCTGGGTGCCTAGAGTGGTCCTTTAAGGAACAAGCCATTTTACCCCTTCACTGGCCTAAATTAAAAGTTAAAGTTTAGTATTCTTTCACTTCACAGCTATGCAAATGGAATAATAATAATAATAATAATAAAGTCCCAAACCCAAGGCACTCAGCTATGCACTAATGTGAGAATTCAAAGTGTAATTCAAATCTAATTGCTGAACTGAAATTTAAAAAAAAATAATAATGTAATCTAAGCAAGCAATGCTTCGACTACTTTGGCTTTAAATCTGAAATTCATTTTGAATTCTCACTGTGGTGAATAACCCTGTTTGACACAAACCTTTTCATCTACACACAATGTATAGATAATATCTTCACCTCCCTGAAGGTGAACTTGCCATCCACACAATTTATGGATGACAGTTTCCTATACTGGCAAATACCAGTGACAGAAGAAAATGGAAATTAAACCTTCAAAATATAGTTCTACCCATAGATTTTATGGAAATGTGTCTATCAGTGTCTAATGTCCATCTCAATCACAGAGAATAGATAACATGCTATGACCTAGAAAGTGAACACACTCCATTTTTGTAGGACAGAAAACTTTCAAACATGTAGCTTGTAAACCCTGTAACTTCACTATGATGCTTGCAGCTCACTCGCCATACCTGCAGAGATGATGCACATCATTCACCCCCCACCCCACCTGCAGAACAAACTTTTCATTGTAGGATTTAAGTGACTCTAGTCTAGTGGCAGTCACACAGACAACCACTAGAGGCGCTTCAGGATAAAATAAAAAAAACTCCACTACCAGCTGATTGACGTAGCGCTACGTTTTTCTGCACAATGCCTTTATGGGAAAGCGTTGGATTGGCGGAGATGGGAGCAGCCATGGAGATCCATGCTGCAAAGGAGAAAAAGTAAGAAAAACAGGTTTGTTACCTGCAGATAGGGGCATGTTGCCTAAACAGCCATCAGAGAACTATAGCGTTTGGAATACACATCTGTAAATCTGTAAAGTTTTCTGAACCTAGCGTTGTGATATAAAACACCTTGGGCCACTAGAGCATTTAGAATTCTGGATTAAATTGCACAGCTTTAGACCAGGTGTGACCAGAAGGTAATCCCCCCTCCCCACCACCTAGCAGATGTTTGTGAAAATTGAAAATCCATCAAATTAGCTGTAGTTCGTAGAATGGTGAGGCAGGTATTGTGATCAGCAATGATCTACATCATGCTATTAGACCTTTCTCCATGCGCTACCCAAAGACCAGGGATTCACCGGTTCTTCCACACACAACTTTTACTAGCTTAATTCAATGCACCCATCATATCCATCAACCCCTCTGTCCCTACGATATGCAGTCCTTCAACTCTTCCCCACAGATTTTAAGCTTGTCTGAGCAGGGCATGCTTTACCTCTGGCTATTTTAATACTATTTTGTATGTGATATATCCTTTTTTAGAATATTGTAAAATGCTGCAAAAATTAGGATGCTGGCACTATATAAATGTGAATAATTGTAATAAAACGTGGTGATGCACCATATTTCTTAAGTCTAGAAGAAGACAACAATCTAGATTGAGCCTTCTGTTTTATGAGCCAGTTCACCTGGGAGCTGTAAATGCACACTGTGCTCCAGAAGTCATTGTGTAGATTGTGATATGCATGTATTCTATATTCCTCGTGTGAAAAACAGGTATACAAAATAAATACTTTAGCATGGGCATGGGTCCTGGTCTAAAACTGAGAGTCTCACCGGATCAGAGTCTTCTAATAAATGGTGATCTGGACCCAAGTTGATATTTTTTTAAAATTGATTTTACACAACTATCCAATTAAATCTTTTAAGGGGTGGATGGTAATTTATCACCCTTTTAGCGCTCGCTCCTCAATGTATTAAAATCATTGCTACTTTGGTCTTGCAACAGATAATATTCCTTAGACTTATTCTGCCAGGAAATTCTGATTCCGTTTATATAAAAAAGGAATGTAACTATTCAAAGTACCGGACAAAATGAATCTGCTCCAATAAAAATATGGCAAAAACTATAAGTAGTGGTAAAGCACATCAGAGAATAACTTTTTTTAGTCTCACTTTGCAACATAATCCCACTTATGGTTATGCAAACCATACCATAGAGTGCAACATGTTCTTGTGGAAGAATTGCCCTTTAAATTGTCCAATCTAGGTCTGAATTCACAACAATAAGCAGCTTGTATAGAACATTCCATCAAGAATGTCTCCAAACCTACGTTATATTTACATCACTGGAGGGTCGAAACACAAACAATCTTAAAAGTTAATTACACAAATTAAAAAAACACCCTGAGAAATTAATAAACTGACGTTTTAGAATTTGATAAATTCCCAATATATTTGAGAATTTTTAAGGATGAATAATATAAACAAAAAAAAAAACCCTAAAACCAAAATAAGTGAAAATGATCAGAGACCAACTTCTTTGACTTTGTCTGAAATTAATATTTAAATAAATAGCACCACCAGATCTTTAAAATAGTGAACACAAACAAAGTTAAATTACACACACACACACAGATCCACAACACTGATATCCAATTACAGCCCAACAAAAACACACAACCTGATGTGCTGGAAATGTCACCTTAATTTAGATTGTGGAGCAAAAGGCGTGCAAAAAGTGGAGTACACACTTTTTCCATTCTAAGCTACCTGAGAGTCTGCTCTTCCATGTCACAGAATAGTATCAGCATTTCTACCTCTTACTTTTCACTGATTTGTCTTGAAAAGGATTCAGAATTCTCAGACAAAAATCACTCTACGGATTTCTCTTAGTAGCAAAAAGCATGAGTAAAGTAAAAAGCAATCTCCTACAGAATCTGTAGCCAGACTGCCCATTTTTTATATAACTGTGCCTTGGTTTACAGATCATAGCCACATGTTTTTTGCTCTATATAGAGTGTGCAGTTTGCCAGAGAATCCACTTTGCCCATAAGTATTGCATTAGCCCAGTAACACTGCAAGTGTGCCCTGGTAACTGCCGTTCAACGATGAGCAAATTTCAAGCTCTGTCATTTTGACAGAAAAGTCACAGAAACCTCCATTGATTATACACAGATTCTGCAGACTTTGCTTAAGAAACACATGGCAGAAACCCAATGAAATGGCATTTGAAAATGTTACCGATAATTTAGAGTTGGTTAGAAATTCCAGGCCGTATCTGCGTGGACTTAAAGCACAGAAGATGCACGTCATGTTTTTTGCTACAGACACCTAGGATGAAAGTTTGTAATCCAACAAATATACCAAAAAAAACCAAAAAGAAAAATAGTAAGACCAACTTTACTAAAGCAATATACATGGGTTAGTGGAGCAGTTTTGTAAAGTACATTGTCCTACAGATTGATTCGTTTCAGAATGAACTCTAATTACACAAATATTTTGGCAATCACACAGTCATACAAAAGGAAAGAAGGATGAAAGGAAACTAAAAACAAAAAACTTCCAGAACAGAAGGGTCCATCCTTGGCCATCCCAACCGAGGGTTGTGAGGCTGGCAGTGCAGTAACAGCCCTGTTTTAGATGTTCTTTACTGCCTATAGAGAGGCCGACTGGAAGAAATGCCCATTCAGAGCGACAGAAGACAGAGCACTCCAGTAACTTACCCCTCAAAATGTGTGTGGGCGTCCGTACATGCCAGCGGGATACTAGTTTTTGTGATTCATGTGTGCCTTTTCTATATGTTGCTGTAGAAACAGAGGAAAATGTAAGCATGCATTGAAATGGTAAGAAAATGGTCTGCCATTCTCCCACACCACTGAATGAACAACGATAAGTGGGCGCATAGTGAAAACAGAGTTACGGGCAGAATTGAGGCACGGGAGATACAGACTAAACTTCTAAATCGGGCAAACTTCGTGTAAGAGTACAGCAAGGGGTAAATCATTACTCGTGCAATTATTTGTGTATACATTAAGAGGCAGCCACTGACTTTCAGCCTCCCTTCTTCATGCCTTGTTTTGATTATAGAATAGAAATGTCATAAAATGCATTTTACATATACTAGAACAATCCATAAGTCATTTTTGAATGCTGCAAGGGAATGGTTTATCGATAGCCAAGAGAATAGATTTCTTTTTGAAGGAGTATAAGGGAGCCTGAGAATTCTGTACCTACAGGCATCTGAAAAGGAAATCTGGGCCTGGAAGCTGCCAAACTTCTTAGGGATCTCACAGTACTGTCTGAGGACCAAGTAATGCTGTGGGTCTAGATCAGGGAACTCCAGATGGTGTGGACTACATCTACTCTAATCCTTTGCCAGAATTATGGATGTATAAGTATTAAGAGTGATGTAGTCCA